AAAAAAAAAAAAAAAAAGAATTCAGGCTAAAAATGTCCCTCCCACCCTTCCTGGTTGAGACTGGTCAGACGGCAGAACCAGGAGGCTCTGTGTGTTTAACAGAGCCATCAGCAAAGAAACTTTGATCTTCAGAACTTAGTCACAGTGGTCAACTCTGTGTGTCTTCAATTGCAAGTGAGCAGTGATTTTAGTGACCCTGATACGCCCTTTCTACGCCTTTCCCCTCTGATTAAAGCCGGGCAGACAGCATTAAAAAAATAAAAACAACTCTCCTACGGCAAGAACCTTTGCAAATAAGGCATTTGCTATATAGTCATCACTCTGGTTAGTGCTGGCTAGTATTCTCCAAGAAAAAGTGGTTCTTTAACCACTGACAAACTACACTGTAAAATATTCAACAGTATTCAGCGTGATGCAGAGCACCTAAGAATTCACAGTTTTGTAAGTCATCACGAGGGCTTGACTACGTTCGCTCTGCAAATGGCATCTCTTCTGTCGATGGTGGGTCTCAACATTCACTTCTCTACCTTCAAAAATATAATGGCTCCTTCCCACGGGTTCTTTTTTTTTCCAATCTTAGTGTAAAGCATGTCATAAATGACTAGATTCAGAGACAACTTTACCCGTATTATTCTGAGAAAGAAAAGTTAAAAAGATCTTCCTTTCCACACAGTGGGTTAAAGCCTCCACCAACTTTATTGACTGCTCTTTCCCCAAATTACTACTCTACTTTTCTCATTGTCTCGTCTCATTTTCAAATATATGTGATATAAATTTAATTTTAAGACAGTAATTAACGAAAAGACACCCATATTTCTTCAGGTGATGGGGAGTTAAGTATTTTCTGGTGCATTTAAGAAAACACCTGGTTTGGTGTGAACTCACACAAGAGAAAACCACGTCAGCACTCACCCACAGCTTCCTGGTGCCTCCCTGCTGACCCGTGGGAAGTTCCAGGTGCAGATCTCCTCCACTGGAGTACATCTCCACAACCTGCGGCAGAAGAGCACATGGTGCTTAAGTCAAAATCACATTCTCAATGCAAGTGATTTCTTGTTATATAGAAATATTTGACACCCTAATTGTTTATCAGAAAAAAATTAAAAACGTTTACAGATACAAATGTAGGGTAAGTGTTACGCTGTATCACCAGGGGCGTAAGTACCATAAGTGCAAGCAATGTGGTGTATTTAAATAAATCAAAGTCAGTTTGAAATACTGAACTCAGAAATAATGTAGTTGTTTCAGACAGTGGGTTTTAGAAAATCCATACACAGGGCATTTATTTTTATTTTTTCCAAAGGAAATAATTTATGGAAATGATAAAACTTGAGAAATATAAATTTTATTTTTCTTTTGGTAACACAAGTGCTTCTTTATTCACACATTTACAGCAAGATCTAGCTGCAGATATAATAACTACTATAACTGTGAAATACTGGAGAGCATGTCATTCTTAGGTATATGCAATAATATCAATGAGGTATGAAAAACACTTGATGTCTTCTTGTAGTAAAATCATAAGTACTGTTAATATCTCTGACTTTAACCTACACCCATGATTTTCTTTTAAATTTTATTTATTTTTATTTATCTTTTGATTTACAATGTTGTATTAGTTTCTGGTGTACAGCATAGTGATTCAGTTACACATACATACATATGATTTTCATATTCTTTTTTACTACAGGTTACTACAAACCACTGAACATAGTTCCTTGTGCTATACAGTAGGACTTGTTTATCTATTCTGTACATAGTAGTTAGTATTTGCTAATCCCAAAAACCCAATTTATCCTTCCCTCTCCCCTTTCCCCCGGTAAGCATGAGTTTGCTTTCTATGTTTGTGAGTCTCTCTGTTTTGTAAATAAATTTGTTTGTGTCATTTTCTTAGATTTCACATATAAGTGATATCATATGATGTTTGACTTCCTCTGACTGACTGACTTCACTTGGTACGGTAATCTCTAGGTCCATCCATGTTGCTGCAAATGACATTATTTTATTCCTTTTTATGACTGAGTAGTATTCCATTGTATACATATACCACATTTTCTTTACCTAGTCATCTGTTGATGGACGTTTAGGTTGCTTCCATGTCTTGGCTATTGTAAAAAGTGCTGCTATGAACACTGAAGTGCATGTGTCTTTTCAAATTAGTTTTCTCCAGATATATGCCTGGGAGTGGGATTGCTGGATCATATGATAACTCTATTCTTAGGTTTATAAGTAACCTCCATACTGTCCTCCATAGTGGCTGCACCAATTTGCATTCCCACCAACAGTGAAGGAGGGTTCCCTTTTCTCCATACCCTCTCCAACATTTATTATTTGTAGACTTTTTGAGGATGGCCATTCTGGTGTGAGGTGATACCTCACTGATGTTTTGATTTGCATTTCTTGAATAATCAGTGATGCTGAGCATCTTTCATGTGCTTATTGGCTGTCTGTATGTCATCTCTGGCGACACTCATGGTTTTTAAAAAGTTTTACTGAGGTATAATCCGTGTACAATAAACTATACATATTTAAAGTGTACAACGTGATGAATTCTGACATATGTATATGGCCGTGAAGCTACCACTGCGATGCAATTAAGATATTAAATACACCTTTTACCTCCCAAAGTTCCCTCACGCCCTTTGCAATCCACTGTCCCTCTCTGCCCCCTCCATCCCCAGGAAACCACTGAGCTGCTCTCAGCCACTCTGGATTAGTCTGTATTTTCTAGAGCTTTATATAAATAGAATCACACAGTATGTACTCTTGTGTCTGGCTGCTTTTATTCAGTGTCGTTATCTGAGATCCATCATGTTGTTTTATGTACTAACACTTCACTTCTTTTTGATTTTATAGATATGCCAGTGTTTGATCCATTCACCTACTGATGGACATCTGGGTTGTCTATAGTTTTTGGTCATTACAGATAAAGCAGCTGTAAACACTGCATTGTGTGAGTCTGTGTGGACATCTGCTTTCTTTTCTCTCGGGGGAATGCTTAGGGATGGGAGGGTTAGATGGCAGGAGACTTTCCTTCAGAGGTAGGTAACTATCTCTTAAAAAGAAAGAATATATTTAGTTAAATGCAAATTTGGGGTGAAGAGAATGGGTAGAAAACCATTACTTGTTTTAACACTAAGTCCTCCAGGAGCGCAGAAAAAAGGACGAAGCAGGGAAAACAGCAATACTTAAGTACAGGCTTAGAGGTTTTTGTTCTTTGTTTTTGGCGTGCTGTTACAGGGAAGCCCTGAGCAAAGCCTGATGAGTCAGGAGTTTCTCTGAGCGTTAGCTGCCTTCCAGGTTAGCAGCACTCCCCCACAGTGTGACTGTGTGATAGTAACAGCACCGTAACTGATGCAGTGACTGAAGAACTTTTTCTGAAAAACCAGAAAACACCACGTATCATTTCATTTAATCTTCCAAGGCATTAAGGAAACAAGCCTAACAACGTTTGGAAACCGAAGATTAAAAGGTAGACTGCTGACAGCAGGGAAAGCAATAAGGAAGTGGGGCCAGATAAAGACTAAATTATAATAAAGTCAAAGGAAAGACTATGTGAAAACTAGGAACAACACACTCTGGATTTTTAGTCCACTGCTAGTCATCCTAACTTAATAAAGTTTAGGAAAAAAAGGAAGCCAGTAATATATACAAAAAATAATTTATGTAAAAACATTCCCACAAAGAATGTTAATTTTTGTGTGCTCACATATATGCAGGTAAGTGTACAAAAAAGGGTCTTCCATGAGACACCAAGGTCAGACAAGAAGGACCTGCGAGGAAGGGCTTGGGGCTGGAGCTGCGCTAATCCAGTAGTTACCAGCTACATGCGGTTGTTTAAATTTAAATGAAGTGAAATAAAATTAAATGTTCAGTTCCTCAGCCACCCTAGCCATAAATTTAAGTTCTAACAGCCACATGTAGCTGGTGGCTACTGTGCTGGACAGAGCAGACACAGAATTTCTCCATCACTGCAGAAAGTTCTGCTGGACAGCGCTGGGCGGAAAGCAGAAAGCTCAAGGGCACTTTAGCCTCACACTTATTTGAATTGTTAACTTTTTTTTTTTTCAGTGAGAACATACTTGTATGTTTGTGTTGTAAAATGAACAATTCAGATGCAATCTCTTGCTTTACAATACTTTCTTAACGACAAGACTCATGACAGTATAACATATTACAGGACTATTAGGTTAAGAGTACTTTCCATACGATCTTCCAGTAATAAAATCAATTAAGTCATGGGAATGTGATGTACAGGATAGTGACTATAGTTAATAACATTGTATTACATATTTGAAAGTTGCTAAAAGAGCAGATCTTAAAAGTTCTCATCGTAAGAAAAAAATTTTTTTCACTCTATGTGGTAATGGTTGCTAACTAGGCTTACTGTGGTGATCACTTTGTGATATGCAAATACTGAATCACTATGTTGTACACCTGAAAATAACACAATGTTTTATGCCACTGTACCTCAATTAAAAAAAAGCCCATCACATAGGGACTTGGGTTTTCCCCCAAAACAAAACAAAACAAAAGTGCTTTCCAGATAAATAATCTACTGGCTATTAATAGGGCAACTTTGGTTTTCCATTTGCTCTCCTGCATGCTGATGAAAAGTCCATTGTGGTACATCTTGAATTGAAATGTTGTAACTGGAAAAAGACTAGAGGAATAAAAGAAAAAAATGAATACTGAATTCAGAGATAATTGTTCTAGATGGTAGTCTGATGACTCCAGAGGAGTCATGGAGCAAAAGCATGGGTTGTAAGGCTACTTAAGTAACTGTAGATTGGCCAACATTTGCTGAGTCTCCACCCTTCCAAGCTGGAAGCAAAACCTTCAGCCTATGATCTGGCATCCCTGGGTGCTCTGTAACTATGCTGACGCCATGGCAGTGTGCGGCAAGCCAGGCCGCAGGGTCTGAGAGGGTAAGAGGACAGTTTTTATTTCTTTGACTGAAAGCAGTCAAGAAAAGAAAAATAGCAAAAAGATACAAATAATAGACTGATGATGGAGAGGAAATACTTTCCACTTGTAAGAGCAGGACACAATAGCATTTTCCTCTTTTCTGATGAAGATATCCAGCTACAAATAATCAAAATTTGGGCAGAGTATTTTTATTAGTCTATCCTCACCCCATGTCAGCAAAGTTTTGGGGTGAACCTTTCTTGCTGCTTTAGCATATACTTCCTAAGCATTCCACAATTCCAGCTCTGAAGATCTTGTCCTGTTCTCCCCTGTTTTCCCCTTCACTGTTTACAAGCATTTCTACCAGAGGGTCCAAGGATGACCAAAACCATTTTGGTTGCCAGAGCTCAGTGGCTTCCCACAATACATGGTATATTTCCCTCCACCTGTCATTTTCAAGCTACTGGTAAGTTCTGCAGTATTGGTCCTAAAGAACTCGAGGGGCCCTGGGTGTAGATATCATGGACTATTCTGGAAAGCATCTGCAGTCTTCTTCCAACACAGACAACACAACTGGAAGCTGCGTGGCAGCCAATGACACAGCTGGAAGTCACTGACTGGGATGTGGGGTGGGGATTTTAGGAAATATTTGAAGGAGTGACACCAGCCACTCCTACTGTCACAGAGACAAGGAACGAGTGAGGAGGGATTTCATATTTGAAAAGAAGTACTACCAAAAGATTGGGTAAGACGAGGAGCTGGATCTTTTTTTTTTCCAATTGCTTTTAGTCATGACTCTGTATTACCTCTTCCTTGGACTTCAATTTCCAGGCTGCCATCACCAAAAATGTACTATTACCAGAAATAAATATGAATCGTGATTTTAAAAGCTTACATTGGGTCAGAAGGAGCATAAGGTAAGAAAAGTAGTGGCCTTGCAGAGTTGAAAACTCTTCTTAAATTAAATATACAGCTGCCTAAAACTAACACCAGAGAAACCATAGTCATTTTAAAAATGGTTCCAAAAATGTAGTATCTGGACTGCTATAACTCCAAATTCAGACTACAAGCTGCATTAAAAGAATACCCCTCTTCAGTACTATATACAGCCCCATCCTGAAAACTGTAACAGACAGATTTCATGCTAAGTATTAATTTCCACCAAAGGGGAAAACATTCAAAATCACCGCGATAAACTCACCTGTAAAGGCTCACTGTGAGGGTTGTGTATATTTATTATAGGTGAAAAACTGCTATTCACAGGGACTCTGGCCCCAAGGAATGGCCTCAATCGGTATGGATTTGGAACTCCAACACCAAATACCTGTTTCAAAGAAGGGAAAAAAGTCCAATTTGAGTTGCTCTTATAGTTTTATAACATTTTAATGGTTTTAATTGATTACTCTAGGGAAAACTGGTGAATTTAATTTATGGAAAAATCTTCACAACTCCTTTTAAAAGGAACATGCATGTACTTCCTGTACTTGTTTGGCTACCCATTTGATTTGATATATTTACATATTTATGTGCATTTGGAATGATTTCTATAATATATTAGAAATAAAATAATAGCGGTGCTTCACAAGGTCATGGGATAGACAAGAGAAGAAAAGAGGGGACCAAAAGATTTCCCCATTCCAACCTTCAGCAGATGGATTTAGTGCCTGGACAACCTCTTAAATACCAAGCCCAGTGCCCCGTCATTCTTATGTAGGAATGTGGGTTGACTAAAACAGGGCGAGCCTGTCATTCAAATGACAAATATTTATTAAGTGCTTGTGATGTGTTAGGCACAGACATACACAGTTGTGAATAATTCAACAGTGAACAAGACAGATAATGTGCCTGCTCTTACGAAAGTTACGTTTGAGTATGAGGGACACTCACTAAGTAACAATAAAAAGATTCTTAAAAAATGGGTAATGTGATATGGGGTAACTGGTGGAGTGAGGATGGGGATATTCTTCTAAGAGAGGGTGGTTGGGGAGGTGATGTGTGAGCTGGTGTCACTTGAAAGATGAGAACAAGCCAACAGTGAGAGTGTATTCGGGAAGGGGGAGGGGTACAGGCAAAGGGCACGAGCCCAGAAGGGCCGGCTTGTTTGAAGACAAGGACTAATATGAGAAGTGTGGTCAAATGGGGTGAGGTGGGAGAGCGAGAGCTCCAGGTGAGTCGGATCCTCAGAGATTTGTTGGCCTTGGTCAGAAGCTTCCATTTTGCTCCACAAGTAATGGGAAAACGTTAAGGATTTATATGAGGAGCTGAGCGATTCTGCTGTATGTTCAAAGAAGGTCACTCTGGCTACAGTGTGAATAATGGGCCTTGGGAGGGACTGCGGAGGAGGCAAGGCCAGTTAGGAGGCTCCTATAGAATCCAGAGAGAGGTAGGGATGGCCTGGGAGGGAGCAGTGGCCCTGAAGAAGAGCGAGGCAGACAGACTTGAGATACATTTAAGAGGAAAACTTGGGGAAAGACCAGATGTGGAGAGGTAAGGAGCTGGCCTCTGAGGCTCACCTTGAGAACAACCTGATCACGACCCTCAGGTCGCCCACTGGTCACAACCACATAGGTCAGCTGGGGGTGCCATAGTAGGGCAAAGGTCTTCACATTCTTGTGGTGGCCTTTTCATTTACTCAACAAGTAGACCCTAAGTGAGGGTCACAGGTACAGTACTGCGAAGTCACGCAGTATACTGGCATTCGAAGGTTTACTGACTGCCTACTGAACAACCATGAAAGACTTGTTCACACACAGGATGTGATTCCTCACTAAACTGGGATGTTTACTGACACTAATTTCTAAAACACATGAAGTGTTCTGGGCAGTGGTGAAGGAACATTCAAAAACAAAAGCATAAAAACTCTAAGGTAAGACATGAGCTATAAGCATTTAAACAACCGAGTTCTATGGGCAGTGTACAGCACAGTGGTTAAAAGGATGGTTTTTGTAGTTTCAAAGGCAAGGGTTTGAATCCCTGTTCCAACAACTCACTAGGAGCATAATTTGGGCAATTTATTTAACCTTTCTAAACTTCATCTTCTTTATCTAAAAATTGAGAACAGGACCCATACGTAACGCAGGCAGAAGTACAGGAGAAGCGTGTGGCAGAGCGCCAAACAAGTGATTGTTCTTAGTCATCTTGATAACCTTGATAGACAAAACTCTTGAGTCACAAAACATTAACTTTCTCTAATAACCCAATGATTCTACACAAAAAGTAAGTCTAGCAAAAAATGTAAATAATGTAATTACCAAAGAAAAGCAGGCCCCTATGTTTTAATCCTGAAACTATTATTGTTTCATCACTACGCAAAAAGTAAAAATAAAAATTTAGAGTCAATGTGAAAATATTTTTAATTGTTCTTCTGCCAAGCAATCTTCCATCTACACTTTAACTGGAGCTTTAAGATCATTTGTTCAGTCCGATCTGAATAGGGATATTCACAAACACAGCTCTTTAAGTATAAAAATGCTCTAGATATGAACTCTTATGTTTTCCCTTGTCCTCTGAGGTTTTGAAGAGAGTTCTTAAAAGGTGGTCACATGATAGGACATAGGATAGGTTTCGTTTACAAAATAAAGTTTTAATTCTGGTTCTTACCTGGTAGGTGAATACCCCATGATTAGATGTGTTAATAAATAAAGTATTTTCTACATTTCCCACTACTCTTGCAAGAAAAACTACATCAAATGATGTATTTCCTCCTGGAAGAATTTTCTGAAAAAGAAGAGCAATAAATAAAGTTAAATTAGTAACCAAAAAAAAAAATCAGATCATGGTGACCATAATTCGACAGCTGAAGTTCTCTGAAACATCTCAGAATCATTTCCATAAATTAGCTTTCCACCACAAATGTTTAAGCTTTAAATTAGCCAAACTATTTTGCAATGGAAAATAAAATTTAAAAAGATGTCTTTACATTGGCTGTCACATTATCTTTGTCAATCACAAGCCTAAAACCCTCTACAACAGATGGTTTCCTTGAATTCTGTTCGTTTGACAGTCACTAGGCTGGAATGAAGTGCCTACTGACAGGCTCTTCTTCATCACCAGACAATCAAGGAGGAGCTGAGCTGAAGCAGGGCTCTTACACAGATGCTCACTCTACGACTCAGCAGCCGCTTGAACTATCCCAATAAATCAATCAATCAGCCCAGCCTCTACCCTTTGACTCCTGTCACCCATTCACACAAGGCACAAAATGTCCGGCAACTTAAAAAAGAAGGGAGAGGTGACAGCATGTACAGGAACTCCCTCCTGTTACTTTGTGCAGACTGAGAATGTCATGGTGGTTAGCAAATTACAGTTCTATTACAACAAACAGGGTTGCTTCATGAAGTTCGAGAGACTGAATGCAGTTCTGTCTGCAATGAAGCCTTAAAATGCATTTTAATATGTAAAGTCCTTAACCTCTCTCATTCTGCCTCTGCAACTAGAACTCTGAAATGCTCCCAATTACAGCTTGAAGTACATGGCAATGAGACTTCTGCCTTTATTTTAGGACGTGGAATGCTGGAAAGAGCATTTCTCCTGCGATATTGACAAGAAAAAGAATAATCTGCAAAATTCTAACTTTTCTTGACCCCATCAACAGAGTCTGTCTATTAACTAGCAAAAAATTTAAGACAAGCACCTTCAAGAAGAGACAGAATGGGAGTCCTGGCTCGCCCAGAGCACACAACAGGAAGGAGACGAGGCTACCATACAAGACAGTAAAATGAATTCAGCTAAAATTTTTACACAATGCTGAATGCCGAGTGTGGGCTACAGAACACAAGTGCGTGAATCCCTGGAAGCTGCAGAGGCTGATGGAAGTCACACGTGAGCCAAAAATCCGTAATGGAAAGATACCTGGTAAACCCCTAAGTAGTCTGATATTAAACAACACACTTCTAAATAACCCCCTGGTCAAAGAAGCAGTCACAAAGGAAACTACAAAATATTCTGAATCAACTGGGAATGAAAACACAACATGTCATAGTCTCTGTAGGAAAAAGAACAATGCTGAATTACAGTTTTGACTTACTGAGTTCGAATCATACAATAAGCTAGATTAAAAGTTTTAAATCAATTAATCAAAAAATCCATTTAAATCAATAATAATCAATTTTACCAAAGTTACAGTGGTAATGTCACTAACATAGGTAGTTGGTTGCAATAAAAATTCAGGCAAATTTCATGGAAAGCCATTTTGCAAAGCCTTTCAAAAACTACATGAAGAGGGAAGAGTTTCATTTTTAGAAATGTAACCTGAGGAATAATCTAAAGAAATCTTTAAACGTGCCAAATAATGACATCATGGTGTCATCTCTGAGAAGAAACGGATTGAGCAGCTGGCTTGCAATTCATTTACAAGCAGGTTATTCCCGGGAAACAAAGAAGACAGGTGACCTGGGTATAATCTCTTGGCATTATCTTAATGTGAAATAAATCACAGATTTATAAAGTAACTTCCAAAATATCTTTTATAGTTTCTTCAGTATTGTAATATTCCTTAAAGTAGTTTCCTCTGATTCTTTAGTTTCAGGGATGGTATTTCTAAAATGTAAATATTGTCATGTATACACACACACACCCCCCAAATCTTCTTTATCCATACATTTGCCAAGACATTTAGGTTGCTTCCACATCTTGGCTATTGTAAATAGTACTGCTGTAAACACTGGGTACATGTCTCTTTTCGAATTAGAGCTGTTTCTGGATATATGCCCAGGAGTAGGATTGCTGGATCATATGGTAACTCTAGTCTTTAGAACCTGTTCATAATGGCTGCCACCAATTTTCATTTCCGCCAACAGTGTAGGATGGTTCCCTTTGCTCCACACCCTCTCCAGCATTCATGGATCAGAAGAATTAATATTTTTAAACTGTCCAAGGGGGAGGGTATGTCACAGTGGTAGAGCATGTGCCTAGCATGCACGAGGTCCTGGGTTCAACCCTCCACCATCCTCATCCTTCTCAGGTTCTCCTGTTAACCCAGTGTTTCTATCTGTACCTTACTCTGGCTCTTATTAATATTTCCAAATACATAAAGATTTTCTACTTTTTATAAAAATGGCATCATATTCTATTCTAAAATGTGCTTTCCTTAGATATTAACATATATATATATAATTCCATATCAACAGATTAGATCTAACCCATATATAGTAATATTCCATATTACTGCTACATCACACTTTGTTCAATTCCCAATAATGTGCATGGATATCAGAATTTAACCTGAAATAGAATAAATAATGTCCAGGTCTCTACCTATAATTAAAAATAATCATTAATATTCATTAATGACCTTCAATCCATGAGAAGAGATTGTATTAAGCATACTAAGTGGGCTAAAACATTTTAATTTTAGACACAGATTGAAACAGAGTTTATGCTAGTTAATCTTTAGCTTCTTTGAAAAGTTAATCAAATAAAAGGTTCTACACAATCAAGGAAAAAATTTTTGTTTGCTCACTAATGTCTTTAAGGCACCCATTTCCACAACTCTTATGGTAATCAAAATATGACTATTATAGAGTATTAAAAAAATCTGTATTCCTTGACACAAACTGTATATTACTTATTTTACGGCCAATACGCAGTATTGCCATGAAGATGAATAGGCCTAAACTGCAGTCTTAATATTATGTAATTTTAAATTATAATTAATTAGACAATTATAATTAATCAACAGACAATTAAAAAGAAATAATTATTATAAGTTATATATAGAAAAATAAATTGTCACACAACCACATTCCTTACTACCCTTACTCTTCTAGATTTTCAGGTAGTCTTAAAATCACCTTAGTAAGGATGATTGTGTGTGTGTGTGTGTGTGAGAGAGAAAGCACAGTTATGTAAATCCTGGCCTTTTAAACAATAATTATTCTTTTTTGTATTTTCTGCTAGTTAGTTAATGTAGAGATGATATTGGTTAAATCAAAAACTTAAGTGAGTTACAGAAAATGTTTTATTCTCAAAGAACTATGATGTGATCACCAGGAATTGTAAAGATGACAAGGAAATGAGAGTTAGGATAAACGTACAGAAAGGTTTTGCTTTCCTTTAAGACATGAGAAACTCTTTTCATTTTTCCCCAAAGGCTTTTATCATAGGCATAAAATCAAGTGGCGGGGAAATAAGGTTATTTCTCCTCCCAAGAGTTAATTCTATCTCTCCTCTCCACTTCTTGAGCTTCTGGAGTCAGTATCTTACTGTAGAGAATAAAGATGAAAAGCAAGAAGAAGAACAAAATCCTAAGAGAAGATACCGTAGATTCTGGCTATCTCCTTTTAAAGGGCAATCTAGATTATCGAAATGTAGATTTTGATACGTAGAGATTATTTCTATTGTTTAATTCTATCTCCTGATAATGGAAAACACAGATTGGCTTTTAACTTGTTCTTTGACTACATACACACTGAGTTTAGCTTCTGAAGAATTTTCATAAAGACGACTCTCTTTGCATAAGATTCATGTATAGAAATAAGTCCCCTGGAGAGTCTGACTCAGAAATGTCAAACTGGTGGCCTTCAGCTTGTTTTGTTTGGTCCACACTGTCTGTCTTTCTAAAGACAAATTCATTTTTAATTTATAAAAATTGGGAGATTATCATATAAAAATTCCCATTTCTGACTCTTCTTGGAAAATTCGAAGAACTGTGCGTGAGCTTACATTCCCACGTGGCCACCACTGGCTGGGGCTGAATGGGGACTGGACCCATGTGCTCTGGGTCGCCCCTCGTTCCACTTGGCTTGCTTCTCTCGTTTGCACCATCTACCTGGCCCCCTTAAGCATCTACTTGTAATTCTCAGTCTACTTTATATTGTGATAGGCACATGAAAAAAAGTAAAAACCCTGGCCCTTCAACAAGGGTGAACCTTGATGTTTAGAAACACTACATTGCTTGAATTAGCAAAGTTAACAAGTTAAAAATAAAATCTGTAGTGTAGTTGTGAACTACTTTTAAACTGTTTCCATTTTCACTTCACTATTTTGCCTTTTAACCCAATATGTCTCTACACATTGGCAGTACCTGAAGGCCGGGTAATTCCACTTATACAGAAGTCTGCCTCTGTACATGGACTGTAATGTATATGCCCCACACCATAGCTTAATATGATACAAATCCCTGGCCAAGCCAATAGGACACCTAGATCCTCACCTTGGCTCTTGTCACTAATTGCATGACCACGAACAAATCTCTCTAGGGTTCAGCTTTGTATTCGTATAATGAGGGCACTGGACTAGATGAATACACACAGGTCTCTCCTAGCATCGAGATTCTATTTTTTGAGACAATCAGTACATTTATAAAATTTGTGAAAATATCTTTTAGGTAAAACAAAGAGTAACTCAAGGGAAACTTGTTTTCAGAAATATTTTAGATAAGGGATGTCTTCCGAGAGTACATCAAAGGAATTAAAATTTTATTATCAAAATATGCTGACTCATCCATTCCTTATAATGGTATATAAAAATACTTCTATATTTAAAAATGGCCAAAATTATATGCCTTTTTTTAATACTAGAAGTTGTTAAAGATATATGATGAAACAGGATTTTAGAAAGGAGAAATGTAAAAATCTAAGTAATTGATGCTAATTTATATGCTTAAAAAAGTTCCTTTTTAATTATTTAGTCATATCTCTTCAAAGGGGTCAGTGAAAATCCTGGAAAGATGAAATTAGGTTCCATTAATTTACTTCCCTCTGATATTTGCTATTCAGCTAATTATTTTGGAAGCCTATATATTAAAGCTTAATGCATTCTCTCAAATTCAAAATTTATTTAGATCAATTTTTGGTCAGATAAAATTTT